TTTTTTTTTTGTTAAATAATTTTTAAAGAAATTGTAACCAATTTGTTCTAGAATTTTTCCCCAGCTTATTTGTTCATTGCTGACTGTTAATTTAAATTAGCACCGAAATAAATATGTAGTATTCTATATTTATAAACCCTACACGCTAAATACCACAAAATAACATGAAATTGTCAAGTGTGAAAGAGAATTTACATATACTGATATTAAGACCAAGAGATTTGAAGCCGTCAGACAGCGAAATGGCTGGTTTCTTTCAATTCCAAATCATCGATATTTTGGCTAGTTTTACCGAGCTTTGTTTTTCAGTCATTAAGAAAGAAAATCCTCACAAGTAAAAAGGCATGGAACGGTTTGATAACATCGTGGTAATCCCTAAGATGGTATAATCTCGCTGTTAAGGAGTCATTTGCGACATGATTGGTGCGTTTGCTGGGAATATTAATCATTTTTAGATGGTCCTACAGCCTCAGACATTATATCAAAACGCTTTTCTAGGTCGTTACAATGTGGGTTACAACGTAACCTTTATATCGCCATAGAAACGACAAAATTAAATTCAAATTAAATTACAAAACTCATGTAATTTTTATGAAACGTCAATACCATTTAAAAACGCGGCTTAACAGAACGTATAATACCAGTAAGCGAAACGCTATTTGATATTTTGATTTGATACAACACTACTAGGATAATATTTTTTTCCCGATTCCATTAAGGACCGCGTGGTGAAAATGGGAGTTTGAATGTGTAATGGAGCTATTGAAGACTCTGGAATATCGATCTTCTGAATGAAACTCATTCAGAAATTTGAAGAAGTTTTCGTAGATATCTTTCGTCTCGTTTCTGATTTCGTTATTAATATAAAATCATGTAATAAAGCTACTTAAACATGCTCGTAGCTAGACCCGCCCTTTTAGTACTTTATCTTGAATATTTCGCGAAAAATCCCACTAAATTTAGCGAAATTAGCGACACACTGATCACAAACTTGAAATGACAATATGATGAATCGAAACCCTGAACGTGCACAGGGCGTGATATACCACATGTTGGTCATAGAAAATAGCCAAGTAAATTTCTAAAAGGATAATTATTATCATTATTATTATTAAGGAGTTTCATTAAGGAAAAAAGTGCAAAAACGATGTATGAAGTGTCAGGAAGGATTGTAGTTACTAGAGAAGACGAGAATGAAATCATTAGCTTGACGTTATTACATTTGGTGATCGTTCGGCGCGGTTCTAATTTAGAAGACTATTACTACATCAATTTGTTATTGAAACGACTGAAGAAAAAAAAACGAATGACATTAACTGACCAATCAGGATTGATTATTTCACTTTTAGACGTTTTGTTAATTACTGTTGGTTCTAAGGTTTATGAAGATGGTGAGTTTTTGGTTCAAATGAATCAATTTTCAAAAAAAATCATATACATTGACACAACAGAAATGCTCTGATAAACACATTTAATTGACAGCCTTTTTTCTCTTTGGAGCTAATTGTCTTCCAAAATGTACCTTTTTGTCTTTCTTATCACAAAGAAAGGTACCATATATCCACATGAACGGTCTGCGTCTCTTACTGATCAAACAAGAATGTCTTCATTTGTTTAGTGATGATATCTGACAAGGTTTACACAACCTGATATCAATTCACGTATGGAAAAGAGATAATTTTCACACCCCCAGTAGAGATGAAAAAGAATAGTCAAGTTTCGAGATAAAGTCGTGAAACCAAATTGTGGGAGTATGAGGAAGGACAATAAAAATCTGAAATACAATCGCGAAATTACCATGACGTTGAACGAGGAAATAAGCGGTAAATATGAGGAAGACCGACTAGAATAGTTAGTTTAAAAAGGAAGCGTTGGTTTTCAGTATGAATAAAGCTCTAAATGAATGTATAATACATTAGAACAAGCAAAACAATAATAACTGTTTCTTTTTATTCGCAATTCAACAAGCAAAGTCTGGAAAGATCGAGGAAAAAACAAACACTGATGTATATAAACTCAAACTTCAACACATCCCTCAAACATTTCTCGAAATTAAAGCAAGGCTACCAGATTTTATCAAAGATAAGGGTACTTTTAATCTGAATATTCACATGACTGGCAAGACAGCGGTTCACAATGTTACTGACATTTCATACATTGATCAAAAAAATATTTGCACTCGAAAAATAAATCTTTGTATCTCGAGCAATCAATGTCCAAGTTGCGAAACCTTTTTTATCGAACGTCATTTTCTTGAAAAAATAAATAAAATGAGATCAACATGAGGTCAAAACCTTTTGGCAACAATTTGTGGGAAATTTTTTGAAGATTATCTTGCGTCTACTGTACACGTGTAGATCTTTGGTGTAATTAATTTTGAAAGCAATAGATTGAAGAAGGAGGTTGATAGCTTTGTCTGGTTAAATGAGAAATCTATCTTTTAAAAAAATCATTAATGAAATGGTTTTTCTTAAGTTGATCGGGATGACAGCTAAATATAATTGTTCTAGGTATAATAACGGGATTGAAATCTGTCTCAGAGTTACATGCAATTTGACACCTGTTTTCAAATATTACAAAAATGGGACGCTTAATTTGTTGAACTTTTTTTCTTCTTGTTCCATCGTTTGTTACCCAATTTTCAATTTCCTTTAATTGTTCGCCAGTTATATCTTATTATTATAAATACTTTCTCTTTTTTTCCGGCTTGGAATTTTATATGGGAGGGGGGGGGGGTGTGCAAAATTTGTGCCATTTTATTGATTCGTTTGTTTTCCTAAAAAGAAGTGCATTTATCAAATATATTCATATTTGTCAATATAATTTTAAATTCGACAGTTAATTAACGAAAATCAAAAATTTTTTTTTCAATACTACGTATTTGCGAACATTCTAAATTCCAATTTTGAGCCTTTCAAGCGGTCATCCAACTCTTGACGTATACACTCGTGATAAAAATATCTGAAACTGAAAATTGATGTTGCTGGAGTTTCCTGTTTCCATCCATAATTTAACAAAGAAATTCATAGATGTATGTAGTATTATCTCTTTAAACCTAACAGTTTTGTTCGTATTTAATTTCCTACTTCCTTTACTTTTTTATCTCTTATGATTTAGGCCGCAGTAATATTTTTGCTTTTCTTATCATTCATAGCTCAGCTTAAACAAACTTAAAATAGTACAAGAATTTCCTAGAAAACCATATCGTTGCAAATTCTTTTCATCCTTGAGTTGATCTATTTTTCGCAGCCTCCTATGACACTCCTGTTCTTTCCTGTTCTATGCATAAAGAAAATTTAATGGAAAATCATCATGTATAGTTACTGAGTTTTACTATGTAAAAAAAAAATAAAACACTGTATTTTCAGGAAGGATTGGCAGAAATAAACGCTATCAATGATGATTCTACGAGATCATCTCCAGATTATCTGCATGGAACTTCCTGATTGCATCCATAATTTAATAAAGAAATCCATAGATTTATGTAGTATTATCTCTTTAAAACTAAAAGTGATGTTCATAAATTTATTACTTAGAATGTACGTATCTGGTCTTTACATTGCTCGAATTTTTAAATCGATGGAAACTAACGTTCTGTTGAAGAAAGCTTTTTGTGGCTGTGGGGTAAGGGATGGTTAGTGAGGATGGCTGGAAGGGAGGGGGGAGGGGCGACGAAAGACCACATTCATGTAGCCATTTTATGCATCATTTTTGGATTAGAACATTTGAACGTTTTAAAAATGTATGTTTCGCTAATTTGGCTCTCTTGATGACTTTATTTATTGATTGACCCCTTATAGATTTGGCTGGAAATTTGGCGCCAATACGAACGCACTTACCCCTTTCTAATACACACACACGCACACACAAATCCTCGACTCTCGTATTTGCGCCACTCCGCTGTAGTTTAAAAAACGTAAATCATCGTAATTTCTCTAAAGCGCTAGACTTCGATATGGTATTGGTATATCAATCACGATGCACAAGATGCACATGTCCACTGGAATAAAGAACAAAGATCATTGAAAGGAAGAGCTTGAGGTTGATAAATTAATGCAATAAGATTGATCTCCTACTTCGCACATGAACATCGATACTTAACACATGCTCAGTGTACTTAAATTAATTTTTAATAAATGCCATCTCGTACGCATTAGTAGATTTGTTTCACCATCGCTTGACTATTTTTTGCATTGAGTCAGTCCTTTCGAGTTCATATTGCATGGTGTTATTTCTCTTGGACATTATTTCTTTCACAAGCAAAGAGAAAACCGAAATTAACAGAGAAAAAAAGCAAACAAACAAGTATAAGCAAGAAAGTAAGCAAGTAAACAAACATTTAAACAATCGCTGTCGAAAGATCTTAAAATGAAAAAAAAAACTTTAGTATTTTAGGTCTATTTTTGCAGCGACCAATATTACAGTTTACTTGCGTGGTGACTAAATCTAAATTTAATACTTTCTCAGCTATCATATATGTAGTGGTTCAATGGCCCGCGCATTAATCAAGAGTATATAGGACTTTGAATCCTAATCCACCTTAATCCACTAAGAAGTTCTTAATATTTTCTTCCTCTTTTTTCAGTCGTTCGTTATCTTATGTTTTCTGAATATGTTGTGATTAAAGCACAAATAATGAAAAAGAGAGGCAGAAAGGAGTGAATGGGCGTCGACCCGAAAATGGTTAACCTCAAACATGCAAGACATTTTAAACGAACTGGGTAAACAACTATCTAAAAATGCACGCTCCATCGAATAAAATAATTAATATAAATAAATAATAATTAATATAAATAATCTCAAACTTAGATCTAAACGTGTAAACGAACGAACTCCAAAAAAATTTTGTTTCGAAGATAAGTTATTTTTGACAAGAAATAAATAGCCAAGGCTTTTCTTGATATTCCTTCGAGGAGCGGCATTTTTGTATTTCCTTTGTAATGTGTTATCAAAGTAAGCTCGTGAGTTTCTGTAAAAATCAATACAATTAAATGATTGAATACTGTTGTGAAAGATGAATTATAATAGTTTGTTTTAAAGAGTCTTGTCCTGATTTCACAGAGTGATTTATATTAAATGCTTTACAATGGCCTCCTTTAGGAATTTTTTTTTTCTGTGTATATCTTAGATGATGGAAGTGAAAAGGAATGTCTTTACTTTAGCATAGAAAGAGATTTTTTATAAAGCTGAGAATTCGAATAAAGGAACACTGACGTCATGTATTAACGGTGAAAAGGCTTTTTCTCAACAGACAAGGGAATACTTCTATTTCGTGCAGTGGCAGTGAAAGGGCGACCTATGACAGACACGGAATACTTTTATGTCACGAAGCAGCATATAAAAGGCTTTCTTCAACAGACAAGCAATATTTTAATTTCGTGCAGTGGCAGTGAAAGTGCTTCCTTAGACCGACACGAAATACTTTAATGTCGTGTACTGGCACTGAAAGGGTATCCTTCAAAATACAAGTAATGCTTTTAATTTGTCTAGCAGCATCTAAAGGGCTTTCTTTATAAGACAAGGGATGCTTTTCTTTCGTGTAGTGGCAGTGGCTTCCTTCCAAAACCCAAGGTGGTGGAGATAAAAGAGATTAACGCGGGAACTCTTCACAAGAAAATTAGTTACAATTATTGTTATTTTCTTTTACATTTAAAATTTTAATTAAAGAAAAAACTTATCAGCGTACGGATATTGATTTGTAATGGATTCTTTTTACTGGGGTTCTTGGCATCTCAATGGCCTGCCGCTCTCTAGAATGGCTTCCTCGCATAAATACTTGTCAAAAAAAAAGTTAGGGAATTAAGAAGCAATTCAAAATAATTCCCACAATACCAGTATAGGGTTTAACAGTACGATACTTTAACTTGGAAAATTTATATCAGATTGCGCAGTGATTGGATCTTTTGGCCTCTAAATGACCATGAAGACAAAGAACTAAATTCTGAGGATCTGTGGCGGCATAACCGAACAAAAAATTGAAAAGTAAATTGAAACATAACGAGATACTTATATGCATTATTACAGAATTTATAAACTATGAAGTATAATAGAGGCAGCCATCATGTGTTTATAAAAATAACATAAAAAGCAAAAACAACAATAAAACTCTCGTCATCGCTAATCACCACCGCAGGTACGAGTTATAGAACAACATATTATATAAATTTCTACCTCTAGAGCTTTATTTAAGAAAATATATATTGTAGAATCATTCCTTTACTATACAGCCGTTAAATTCCCTCCATAAAGGAATTCGCCTCACTAGTAACAGCCTGAAGGAAAGCGAAAACTCTGCATATGCACACCAAGAGCAACAATGATTACACCTAATCTCGATGTTATGGCGACATTCCTATTTTGAAAACATTTCTAACGAGATTAAAAAATGATTGCAATCTTGAATTGAAGAAGATTTCATCAAGTTGCGGATTTACACCTGTATCAGCGGAAGTATTAACGCGGACTATGGGTCGTTAACTCGTATTTAATGATCCAGGATTGTTTATGGTTATTTTATATTCGGTTAGGAAGAGAGTAAAATTTGTAAAAAGTTATAAGGTAGTTATAGCGAGCGACAGTAAAATAAAAGATAAGAATGATAAATGTTAGGAAAAACATATGGTGAGCAAATAGAGTTACTAATACATTATACACTCTTAAAGGAAAACTAGTGCTATCAATTATTATTAAAGAATAAACTAACGGCAATATATCTTGAACTCTTAGTTGTACTGCGTGGCACGCGATAGCCTACGCATTTTCCCATACATGTTTTGATTAGGATATTAGATTTTAAATTCAATGCCATTTCTTATGTACTCTATGCATTACGAGCTAACACAACTTTGCCTTTTCACTAAGATGGAGGTGCTCTTTGCTGCTTTATTTAAGAGGGTCACGAGACTTGTCCATAAAAATGGAGTTTTTCTTTCTCTTTCTATCGCTTCTTTTTTTTTTTTTTTTTTTTTTTTTTTTTTCTTTTCTTCTTCTTTTTCTTGGAATAAAAAAATAATTAACACACAGCTTGAAGTCTTTGCTCGTTGTCTGGCGCCAGGTAAATACTTCGATAAAAAGAAGGAAAGATTCCCTTTGTCTTCCTTGGGAAGCGAAAGCAACCGCACACTAAAGAAATCGGCGTACTAAAGGAGGCTTAAAGTGTATTCACCAGGGGACAGATTTTTCTATAGGATTACCACTAGCCTCAACTAATGACTTTTGACTATTGACGATCTGCCGACTCATTATTGCAATCGAGTTCCTACTTGAATCGCGTTTTGAGAACTCACAACAACAAAAATATTGCTGTTCGACCCAATGAGAGAATTTTGAAATGATTTTTGATGATTCTGATAGTACGAGACGAGAAGTCGTGCTAGAAAACGACTAGGAGACTCAGAATAAAAAAAGTAGTGTTTTTATCCATTATTGCTGGAGGCAAGTACGATGTTTTCGTTGAAGTTCCTAGCCAGGAAATTAAACAAAGTTGATTGTTTGGGATTTCTATGTAAAGAAAAAGGAACCTTAGGAGAATTGGTGGCATTATATTTTTACTTCCCACTCCTCTTCTTTCTCAACTACCTTCTCCATCATCATCATTATTATCAACATCGCCATCAACATCATTATCATCACCGCCATCATCTTTTTTCTTCTTCTCCTTGTTCATCTTTTTCATCGTCATCTTCTTCTTCTAAATCATCGTGGTGATGTTCCTTGAGTAAATCGCGTGTGCAACGCCTGAATTTATGGCGGGAAATAGCTGTCACGTGACTTTCAAATACGTAACATTTTTCCTTCAAATTTCAGATGAAGAATTCTTAATGACGAAAGAGAGTATTGGCCTTTATTGTCTCATGTCCGATAACTGTTACCATATTATGTTTTATATTGCTATTAATATTAGACAAGGTGATACATTTGTACTATAAAATATTATTTCTTTTACATTAACTATACTAAAAAGAAAACAATTAATAACTTCCAGAAGACAAAGAGTGGTCTCTTTCACATCCAAACTTCAGTAATATCATCTTTAATAGCCAAAAACGTCATCTTATCAGAATGAAACATTAAAATAAAACGATGATGATTGATAGGCAGTGCCATGAACTTTAAACACTGAGTTTATACCGCCCTACTCGTTCATTATCAAGTTATAAATCAAAGGAGTTAATTCGTTTAGAGGATTTAAAATTGTTTAATATTTCAGCTCCAATGTCGTGAGTGACCTTGGCCTGGGGCTGGCAACGTACTCTTAATCCTTGTTAATTCGTCAATGCGATAACGCCATCTGTTGAAAAGAACAAAAGGTTCAGATAAGCAAATACTAGCACGTACTATAACCATAGTGTAAGAATACTGATCTGTTCAGCATTAAAGTAAAACTTGCAGCAGAAACCAAGACCAAAATTGTGTAAAATCTTCGTGTGAGTGGATAAGCAAGTAGATACTTTGATAATTGATAGGACTGAACTCTAAAGGCTACTTGGTAGAAACGTTATCTCAAGGAGTTAACACTAGGCATTTTTTAAATTTAAACATTCATCATATAAACGCTTTAGGAACTGACGTAGCTTCCCCAAACAAGTCGGTTCCGAAGGGAAACACTGGAAAGATGGCACCAATTCACATCACAGATAACCCCAAATGCTAAAAAACGTTTACTTAAATGGCCATCATCAAACAAGGCTAAGGTGCGCCAATTGGTTAAGGAAATGACAGTTCCTTCAACTAGTCCCCGCCCAGAGGAAAATCGTTACGAAATGACCCTTCGAGAAAATGAGAAACCAATTGACATGAGATAACCTTGCTGAATACTAAAGACTCTCTGAGATGTGTCAAGCGTCTTTATCATCATCATTTATGTTCCCATCACTGGTGCAACAGGTTGGGGTGCCCAAAATCATTTTCAACATGTTTGTCTTGATCGTGTAGTTTAGGACAACTCCTTCAATGAGACCCCGGGGGAAGCTAAAAATGAATGGAGGCTTTAAGAAAAGAGCCGCATGCACCCTTTGGCACACAGATAAGACCCGAATGATAGGCGGTTTTTATTTGAAAAGTCCGCAATAGAGAAGACACCAAGAAGTGCGCCAAACGCCTTAGGACAACTCCTTCAACTAGTCCTGGAAAAAAGGGGCACATCCTTTAGCACAGAAATGAATATGACTTAGCATTAAATTGAGTGCCATTAAATTAGCTGATTTTTTTTTTCTTAAATTATCATCTGGATATATAGGCATAAGCTGAGTAAGTGCTTTAGGACAATTTGCATATCAACTGTTTCTGGAGAAAACTATTATTGGGTACCTTAAATACTCTATTAAGCGCCTTGAAAGCCTATTTGTTTAAGGCACGTTACTTATAGGAATAGGGGGGAGGGGTTATTAGAAAAGGAGCTAATAAAAGGGGGGTCTTATGCAGTACTATGTACGCTATAAAGATATATTATTTGATGACTCAAGATAACTCAAAGGATTACGATTTATATTACTTTTTCCTATAATACGGTTTTGTGTGAACTTCACAAGCGTAAATAGATCATAGTACTTTTAACTTCAACCAGTGCACGTGCCTTGTTATACTCCTTCCGTTCTGAAGGGGGAGGGGAGGGGGGTTTTAAAGAAAGGGGAGCCCGCTTTTTTTCTCTAAAGAGTTGTGTTGCTTATTAGAGAGAGGAGCCTTATTTGAGAAGGTTATTAATAGGAGATTAACGGTAAGTTTAAAAGAAGAACCCACTCCCCTGTGCAAATACCAACCARTACTAATAATTAATACTAATCAGATACTAATCAATTTTACGTAAAAGTGATTGATTAGGAGGAGTGTCTGATAAAACAGACTATGGTAATTCTTTAACCATTAACGTTATATATTTTAGGAGCAGGCGTAGCTCAGTTGGTTAGTGCGCGACCTTCAGAGCTTGAGGTCCACGGTTCGATCCTTAGGATCTCCACGTCTGTTCGACTTCTCTCTAATCCGTGTAGCTTCAGCTTTAAATGCTCTTAAAAMAGAGCACTGATGGMGAGAGGGGGTAAAGTGCGCACCGTCGGCTWCCATTGATAGCAGTTGAATTTCAACTGAAGGAACTACCGACGTTAAATATAAATACTTTACGTTTATTAACTGATATACATTTCCTCGGATAACTTCTTGGCGACCCGACACAAACTGAATCCAATTCTTCCACATATTTCACGACATGTGCAAAACTAGCTTATTTTAGGGTGATTCTACATCACTGGCAGCTTTTTGAAATGCCTTATTCATATCTATAATAGACTGGGGGAGAATGGTGACGACACGTATGAAAACGAGGCCGGTGTTCACAAAATATGATAATCAGTATGAGAGAATAAATATAATTTCAAATATGAAATTGATGTTGGCTCTTTTTTGAGTCTAATATTCAAAATGTTAATAAGAGAACACAGACGTTCAATTAAGATGTCATCCAATTTGTGGTAAAATTAGTAGAAAATCATTCATTCGTGTTCCAATAATTATACGCGTCTGACGGTATCGAGCAAGTATTTGAGTCGAAAACAATCAAGATACAAATAATCTAATAATATCTTAATATATATATATATGTATTCTTAACCCACAACAGCAGTTTCCTACACTCTCGATTCGAGCCCTTAGCCAAAGATATAAATATATATATTAATTATATTTATCAATTAAAGTTAAGCAAAAACTAGAAAGTTGGTTTACGGTACTTTCCCATCAAAAGCAAAAACTAGAAAGTTGGTTTACGGTACTTTCCCATCAAAAAGCACTTTTTTGTTTAAAAAAAAATCGGCATGGGTGTGTGCAACGTTCCACGTGTAATGGCGGACTAAAACGTACCTACATCAGTATTTAAGGTCTGGTCACTTACCATCAGTTATCAATAGTTATTGAGTTTTCCTTTCTTGGTTTTCTTGCCCAAATTGCCTCAGTTCATTTGGCTTTTCATTAAATCTCTTAGAGATTTTTTCAGCTAAAGTTTGCAAGAGATTACTCCTCTTGCCACACCCAAATCGCCAACATCGCGTTTCCTGGTTGTTATCTTGATCTACAGCAGGAATAGCCTCTTGCGTTTTCTCGTTAGGTGCAACTGGTAAACCGGGTCTTTCTTCCCCAGATTGTTCTCTTTTTTTGCACCCAAATCGAAAACAGCTAGATTTGGAATCTTGTTCTTGTTCTTGTCCTTCTTTTTGTCGTTGGTTTTTCGTCTCTGAGTTCTGGAGTTTTTTCGGTAAAGAAAATGTCTCTTTTTCCATAATTCTTTTGCAGCCGTCAAAACTTGAACATCCAGCAAGTCGTAATGGGTTGCGCTTCGACGTCATTTCGTTCGCAGTACCAATCTCATTCTCTGGAGACTTGGCCGATCGTTTTTTCCCACCACAGGAGAAGCGCTGACATGGAGGACGAGAGCTTAATACTTTTTCCCTTTTTACGGGTTCTCTTTTGAGTAAAATATCGTCTATTACTTTATCAACTAACAGTTTCTCATTTTCTGGAATTTTTAGAGGTTTCTTTTCGTCCGTTTCTCGTTTTCGTCCAATGCAGGAAAATCGACAATTTTGAGGCCGTATAGCACGTTTTTTGAGATGTCTACCAAGAGCTAACTCATCTTCAACACAGTTTCCTTCACCTCGTTCGCATCTTAAAGATAAAGATGTCCTAAACGACAAGGCGAATATTACCAACATAAAGGAGAAAAGCAACCAACTTCCACTGGATGCCATCAATAAAAGTCAAAATGAGGAACAAAATACCACAAAATCACACAAAATTTTGTTTGGTTTCACCTTCTTAGTAACTATTTGTCAGCTTGGTGTGGTCAGAGAACGAGTCTGGGCGCGTTTCTTATATATTCTAAGTTCCTCCAGATTTACTTGGAAACTATTGTTGTAAACAGATTCTTCCGCTTTCATCTCCTGCTGTAGCCTTAAATCTCAAGAGCAATCAATCCTCAAATGTGTACACAGAACAAAACAGTTAACACAGTTCATTGAGGCGTACTTCTAACCGTTGAAGTCGGTAAAGAACTGCACTTAGAGAACGCATTAAACTATACCTTATATTGAGATAAATACTTATAGAAGGACAAAAAGCGCAGAGGAAGAAAAAAACAACGAAGTCTTTGAAGGTGAAACTCCTTATCGATGAAGAATCAATTTGGTAATTTCTTCGTATAATGTTGATTACTCGGACCTATTGGTATTGTGTAATCGGTACATTAACGCGTGGACAATTACAAAGCAAACAATTCAACGGATGAGTATCCAGAGTTGGTTGGGAAGAACTACGCTATTTGCTTTGTAAGAGAGTTGCATTACAAATGAAGATGAAGTTGTTTAGGAAGTTCACATCATGTCTATTGTAAAAAGCTTTTAACTTTATTCAAAACATCCACGATGAAAACACCTCTGATGTCATATTTATGAAAACTTTTTTTCCAAAGATTTCTCTATTTTTTCATCGATTGCGCACATAATGATTCATAGTCCTTTTACTTTGAATCTTGGCTAAGGATTTTGGCTTAGAAGTAATCGATGTTGTTGTAAACGATGTTTTTTTGAGGATTTTAACGCTTCTATACTTTGCAGCGCAAAAATAGACGTAGCTTTTAAGTCAATTAAGAAGTTTTCTCTACTGGGTGTGTCTCGTATTCAAAAAGAGCGAACGTCACAAAACGATAGAACTTCATGTTGACAACTAAATTAACAGCTTTTGAGCTGCTGTAATTCTAATTCTTTTTTTATATGAAAATAGATAAAAGATGAAGAACAAATCAGCATGATGAATTTAAATGAAAGTAAGCTTTGTTCAAGGCATTTCAATTGATTTGAGTTTGTTTTTCCCGTCCTTGATTCAAGGGTTCTTCTCCGAGTTCTCTATTTTTTCGCAAAAAACTAACTAAATTGATTCTAATTCAATCTGTGAATTAAGCCAAGCCCTAAATTTGATCAGCCCAGAAATTGTTTTAAATTATTTTTAAAAAGTTTAAGATTTTTAAAGAAGCTTCCAAAAAACAAGATTTTAGTATTTGTGAGCCAGCTTTGAGAAGAGGCCGAAAACAACCTGATTGGTCCATAAAACATTCTCGAATGTGCTAAGTGTTGTGCAGTCGCGCAAGTGTATTTAAAAAAACTATGATGCGAGCTTCTCAACATTGTCAGTGCGTATCGTTCGGTCTCTCCTTTAATTCGAGTGTTTTTTTCCGGATTCTCCTGTTTTTCTTCCTCCACAAAACAAAATACGCTAAATTCCATTTCCATCTGAGAGTTAGCCATGTCCTCACATATATCAGCAAAGAGTTTGTTTCAGGGTTCGCTGTAGGTGAGTTAGCCGTGCCTTGACTTTGATCAGTCCAGAAGCTGTTTCAAGGTATCGAATTCTTTTTTTAAAGATGATTCAAAAAAAAGTTTCAAAAGCATATCGCTCTTTTGCAATCAATATGTCAGCTACTTTATCTTACAGCAAAATATTTAAGTAAATATTCTATTTTAAGATCCTTTGGAAATATTCCGCACCATTTTTTTTTTTTTTTTTTTTTTTTTTTTTTTTTTTTTTTTGTAATTCTATTCTCGGAACGTCGCAATAATATACCAATCATCTCGATTAGCTAGACAGCAAATATTAACTTACATTCAAATCTATATTTCTTAAACTCCATTCATTTTTGTTGTTCATCTATTGACCGGAAAACCAAAGGGGTTAAAGACAATAGCCTTGTACAGCTTCATATCGAGTGACTATTAGGAAAACAAAGAAAGTAATAGAGATTAGACGTAAATCGATATTATACTATGGTGTTATGCACAGTCCAACGGAAAAATAGAGAGCGTGTTGATAGCAGACACGACGGTTGTATTGAAAGTTTCATGACACGTTTTCACTGCATATTGTTGAAGTTCCGCAAGCTGCGCAAAACAGAGTGAATAAGAAGAGGAAGGGTATAACAAAAGCATTTTTTAAATAGATTGGTTATTTTTCTGTTTAACAATCGTGAAATGACGTTGGTGCGCGCTTGTAATTGAACAACAGAATCGGAGAAAGATTAGTATTTGGCTTTTTAGTACGTAAAAGAAATGAGAACGAGATATGAGAGTTGATTCAGTACTAATCCATTGGGTTGGGCTACTGATCAGATATACAAATAAAAGGGGGGAAAATTAATAACAGTGATGTAACGAACCGCTTCTAAGGCTGTAACTCTTTCAATAAAAACAGTTGATTGATTTACTCATCTCTTACTAAGAGATTTAGATAATATCCCATTAGATATTTAACTACAATTTGAGAATAAATGTAACAAATGCATTTGCCAAATCTACCTCATTTCCACACCTGATATAGTATTAATAAGGGTAAATTATACACCGTGAAAAGATGAAAAAACTTACAGACGTTTCGGACGCTAGTCCTTCGTCGGAGTAAAAGAGTTTTATCATCTTTTCACGGTGTATAATTTACCTTTTTATCATTACTGTTTCATTAGAAACACCGACGCAGCTCACACTAGTTTTTAGCTAGTTATCTCTTGATATAGTATTGAACATATACGTCTCTTGCTAAGAAAGTCGATGCAACAATCTGAAGTCTAAAATATCCGAAAAGGAGTTCAAATAGTTGGGCTTTGTGCTTTGATTTTTAAAATAAAGAAAGGTTAGCTTTTGCAATTATATTCTGGTGATCGATGAAATGGACTTAGAAGGCGAAATAGCTAAAGTATCGCGTTTGGACTTCAAGGGCGGGTTGTTCAAAGCTGGATTAGCGCTAATCCAGGATTCTTATTAAGAGTTTACCCAGGATTAGCACTAATCGGGCTTTGAACAACTGGGCCCAAGTCTTCCCAGCTAAGGGATTTATCTAGACTATCTGTTCAGCCGCCCTACAGCTGATCGACATTATGTAGCACTGAAAGTAGAGCCTCCATCTTGAATTATTGAGTGACCAGAGCAAGTATATATGTACAGTTGTGTTTCCTGTTGACATTACCTAATTCTGAAAGCTCAATTCAAAAGACGAGCGTGAAAGAAATGAATAGTTATTAAAGATGTGATTTATGAATCTTAAGCAAATTTTTCATGGAAAAAATGCCAAGCTTCACCTTTAAAGAATATCCGCCTCAAAGGAATAGCTATTGACCGTAAATCAATAACTAGGATGATTTCTATTTAGAATATCATGCATATATTCAATGCACAACGTATACAACGTATATATTTAAAAGAATATTTATGTCTTAAAATAAAATGAAAGGTTAAAGAGTGCGTAATCAGGCTATAGCATAAAGTGTAACAATAAATTTATCTAATCAATCTTCTTTTTTTTTCCCCGAGACAGTTTTACCCTTGCTCTAATCAATCGAGAAATTGTTTTAGAGTTGCAAAAAAATGGTAACAGGGTACTGAACAATTTAATACGCTATTACGCTATAGGTATAATGCCTTCCATTATACCACACAATAAGAAGCTTGTGTCGTATGGGGATGTGAAAGGTTAGTCGTGTAAATCTAGCTATGCGCAATAAAGGGGCGCGCAAGTTTCTATCAGTTGTAGATAGCATTCGCTAGTTTTTAGTAGCTTAGTGTAGTCTGCGCAAAGCAAACAAGCSAACATCGCACTCTCTCAAGGCATTGGCAGTATCATCGTGAAATGCGTGAACAGGTTTAAAGCTTTGTCATACTAAGGTTTCATCAGCTTGTTCAGATACAAACGTGACAAAATGTCCTCAACAAACAGACACATTTATGACAGAATCCATGCCAATATACATCGCATGTTGTTCAGAGCGTTGCGCGAGTACGACAATATTTGCCCAGCAGATCTATGCGTCCCTTCATTCGAACGGCCGGTTGAAAAAATGAAAGAAAAAAATCTAATTCTGCACTGTTCAGCTTTTCAATTAAAAAATATCAAGTTAGAGTTGTCACACTGTATTATCAAGTTAGATCTGTCATAGTACACACCGACGCAGCACGACTCTCGCTAGCTTACTTGATATTTTGCATTTGCGTCTACGCTTTAAAGATATGTCGTGTTTATTGATTCCGCAGGACGTATCGACAATAAAGGAGTTATTTAGCCAGCTGTGCTGTGTGTGTGTGTGTCTTCTAATGCTAAACCCACATCGTGACTTCAAATCGTGGGGGATTTATCTTCCATATCCGCGAAATCTTAGAAATTACAAAAGACTTTTATTGCGTTTTTAGCCGAGCAAATAACGAAGCCCTCGCACCAGATGTTTTAACAAGAAACTCATGACCTCATAAAAAAGGTGAAAAATTAACTACACCAAATCTCTCTTACTGCCGAATTAGAATTCACCTACGACGTACTATAATTTTGGGCATCCTTGGCCGAAAAAAAAAWTTCATCACAATATTTTCAAATTGGAAAGCATTTTTTTCGCTTATTCGCTAGGTTCGTCGCCATTAAAATGCGAATTCAATCTCGCCAACGGTAGAAAACCTTTCATTTTTAATAACTTAAGCCGATAATGAAATAAATACAGCTATTAGTTTGGGTTGGTTGTTCTTTTCACTGATTTTAAACCATAATCTTGGTTTTTAACCTTGCATCATTATCAACTGCTTTTAGTTATTTCCTTGTACGAAACATTAAAGAAATATTGAAAATCTAAGAAGCTTTTGAAGGAAAACTATCACTTTAGGTTAACCAAAAGCCTATAATATTCCCTATATGGCGAAAAAAGAAAAAGAGCACAAAAAAAAAATTATAATAATTTGATCAGCTTATTTTTTTTTAAAAAAAAAGCTTTGATACAAGATATTTTGATCAAATAACTTGTGTAAAACTCATGGCTGTCGTCATTTCAGTTTAGCGGACATTTTCAGCATAGTGTTTTGGTTTCTGCCAGACTTCGCTATTGAAATTTCTTTTAATTATTATTATTATCCTTAATTTAGCATTTCGTTGTCGATGTTAGGGTCTTTTTTAGCATCGTGATTTACTTTCTAGTCTAATAATATAATAAAAACTATTTCTAATTTTTGATTTTCACATTTTTATCAT